ATCGTCATGACGATGCATCACGATTCTAGTTTTTGTGATCTACTGCATCGACTCTTGAAGGCAAGAATTGAATATATAAAAAAAAAAAAATGAACAAATAAAATACATGAATGGTTGGCGCACATCAGCCAAACCAAGTGGAATACAACTTCCAGTCCAGCAGACGTCTCTGCGGATGTGTTGACGCCCGCTGCTTTGTGTCACAAGCATGTCCGCCCGCGGGATACTGAGACGAGTCTTTCATAAACAAAATATGGAGGAGAATGAGAAAATTTGCCCCCCGGCTCCATCTCAAGTCAGATGCTTGGATGCATTCTGGCTTTAAAAACAAAGTAGGTAAAAATGAAATTTATATGATGCCCGTAATTTGCAAAAGGACCACTGAGGCCATGTAAACGGCACTGATTATCCTTATTTTGTTATTTTAAGTTTGATGAATCCTAGGGCTGGGTATTGTTAAAAAATTTTCGGTTCTGGTACCAATACCGATACCTTCACTTCGATAACGGTTCCTGAACGATACTTTTTTCGATACCAGTTTTATAATATCAATTCGAAGAAAAAGAAAATTACACAACATAAAAAATTACAAATCTTGAGTTTTATTTTAAGCTCTGATTTTTCCATTTACATTTTTCCTCTTACATAAAAAAAAAATTTCAGTGTCTAATATTCACTGTTACATTGTGAGGACCTTTTTACTTAGCAGTTTTCCTTTAGAAAAATTACCATGTCTGACAAACAAGCCCGTTGAATGGGATCCTACTGTCAGCGCACCGCTGGTATGGGGGGGTCAGAGCGGCTCCGACAGAAATATTGGAAGGCAGGATGAACTGACTGCACTGATTAAGTTTTCAGGTGGATTTTCCCACTTAAAAACATAATAAAACTACTTTATTCCCACTGATCACAGCAAATATAGCTGCAAGGCAAAGAAAGGATAGAGTAGCTCCGCCCAACGCGTGTCAAAGCCACTTTTTCGACCGCGCAGCCAGAGCAGCAAAGCTTCTTCAGCCGCGCGTCAGAAGCTGGTACAAGCAGCAAAAAGGAAGCAGCAGATGTGATTTTGCTGCTCTTGCTGCGTCCAGTTTGAAAGCAGCATGATTCACTCCGCTCTGGCTTTGCAATGCCCACGGGCTGCTGAGAGGAGGATGGTCGCGCTGGCTGCGGTCCGCTCTTCTTGCAGTCAAACACCGAGCAACTTTCTGCTCTTAAATTGTTTCCGTGCACAATGTATTTCATTGCGCAATATTGGCATCAGTCTTAATAAAGTGAAGGCGCACTTTTGACCTGGGGGGCATTTTAAAGGGGTTCCACGACGCTCGCAACCAGTTCACAACAGATACACATGAACCCTGGCTGTAGGCGTGACCACCTGTGTATTTTTCCTGGATGACGCAATCAGGTTAAGTGTTATAGCCAATCACCGAAACTTGGTACCGAAAGACGAGGCATGTTTCGATACTCTGTAGAACCGAAGCATTTCGGTCGGTACCATAAAAGAACCGCAGTTCGGTACCCAGCCCCAATGAATCCTAAGATCTTTTTGTCAGTGTGTCCACACCAGTAATAGTAATATTTCTGTCCAGTATTTGTTTTCATGGCAACACCTCCAAAAGTCATTTCTATAAATACAGCTATGTATGAATTCAGTTGCTTTTAGTTATGTATCAATTGAAGACGCGATCCAGATCACAGTCAGCCACTGGTAAGGGCTGTATCCTTTTCTTACAGTGTTCAGGGAAAATAACGCAATGCATCGCGATGCATCGCAATATTTCATGTATCATGATGCATCGTGATAGAATCGCATCGTTGCATGTGAATCGTGATTCGAATCGATTAATTACTTCTTTACCAATACCCACCCGTATTGAACACTAACTAACTAACTAACTAACTAACTAACTAATGTGTGAGTTCCTCTGAGGACACAGTCTAGCAGTCATCATTTTATGGGATTCTTCATAAAGAAGATTGATTCTATTAAAAATAAGATAACTGGCTACATCCTGTATGATTGGTTTATCTCTGGAAGATGAGGTTACATCTGAGTGACTATGCACTCTGATCCGGCTTTAGACTGCTTTGATTCAGTTGAACTTTCAGAATTAGCTAAGCTATTATCTTCATGTAAGCCTTCTATCTGCATGTTAGATCCAGTTCAAAGCAAGTTATGAAAAAAGAATCCCTCTGATTTCCTCCTCTATTTCATATGTGAGTAATCTATCCCATTTACAGGAATATATACCTTAGGCTTTTAAGGTAGCTGATTTAAACCTTTACTTAAGAAACCAGATGATTTGGTCAATTATGAGTTTGTTTTGTTGGTTTTGCTGGAGGTTTCTTCCTGTTCAAAGGAAGTTTTTCCTCTCCACTGTCGCAGGATGTATGCTCGTGAAGGAGAGCTGATGAGTCAAGGACAAAAATGCAACCAAAAATCATCCCTGTAAGTTCATTCAGAAGGAGCATGTCTTGCAAGTCAATGACTGGATGGACTCAAGTGGTTTTCTAAATCTGGCTGTTTGTGTCTCTATAAAGTGCCTTGTGATGAAACTGGTTGTTCATTGGCTCTATAGAAATAAAATGAATTGAGAAATGTAAAAAGTAATAAAAAGGGACCTTAATTGCTAAAAATGTCAAATAGTTGTCACTAAAGCCTTTCAGCGAACTAGTTCATGTACTACACTAACTAGCTTTCATCTGTGACTCGTATGCACCTTGTTCTGATTAGGGGTGTAAATAATAATCGTTTTGTATCGATGCATCAATCCAACAGCCGCCGATCCGATGCATCGACACGTCCCCAAGATAATCGATTCATGTTTTTTTTCCCCTCCGGTCTATTTTTATCCATTTGCTCCTGGGCGTAGTTCTCCCTCCCGTGCTGCGGCGGCGCTAAACCTATTTTGCCCTCCTACCTCGCTTCCTGGTTATACTCCAGCAGCAGTGTCGCAGTAAGCTTGACGCAGACATTTTTGATTTATGCTCAATATGATGGTGGTCTGCGCTATATGCTGTGGGTCTAGATACGGCCGGGAGAGGAAGTGGGGGCGAGTTTGTCCGACAACAGAGGGACATAAGGGCCAAAAAAAAGCGGGGATCCAGTTGGTAAAAAAAGGATCCCAGCGTTCTGCCGCATCTCACTCTTTTTTTTTTTTATGCGTGTCTATTGTTATGGACATCTGAAATGTTATTTTAATCAGGCACTGTCTGGGGTCACCCTTGTTGTAGCTTAAAGCCCTGCTGACAGTGTGGGGACTTCCCTCCAAAAAGGCCACAGTCAGTGCATACACGTCTGCTGCAGTGTTAATGGCGCTGTTCTGCAGCGCAGCGTACTATAGCCTATTACTTGACTTTTTAACGGGTCGGGTTGCGGGTTAAATATCAACGGGTCGGGTCGGGTTCGGATTTGAATTGAAGATATCCGCGGGTGACGGGTCGGGTTCGGTAGTCATCCTAACGGGTTCGGGCGGGTGCGGGTTGGTAAAACTCGACCCGTGCAGGACTCTACCTCACTCTTCTAGCTGGTCCAAATTCACGAGTTGTTGTGCAATTTTGGTCATAAAAACAAAACAAGCCGGCCTCCTGTCTGCGGCAATGTCTGCGGTCAGCTACAATATGGGAGAGGAGCAGCGGACTGTTTGTGGAGGGGGCGGGGACGGCCACATTCTGGAGCCGAGGTATTGCATTGCACTCATTGCACTGATTTTCTGCAGTATTTTTTTATGCAGAGCCTTTCAGAATCTATAACGCAGGGGCATTATTATTTTTCAGTGAATGAGGTTCTAATAGGAATATTTGGAGTACAACTTATCTACCTCTGTTATTTGCTGTTGTTTCTCAAAGGAAACAATATTACAGCTTTCATTGATGTATTTCAAGTTTGAAACATTGTCATAAGGTAAAAAAAAAAAAAAAAAGAAAAGAAAATTAACCAAATAATCGAATCGAATCATGGTGTATTCTTGAGTATCGAAAATAATCAAATCGTTGGGTCAGGAAATCGATACTGAATCGAATCACCGTGATGGGTGTGATGTACACCCCTAGTTCTGATCATGGGTGATAAAACCACATTGTGATTTAAACAAGCTTCAAAGGGAAATAGAAGATCCATATGCTTTTGTTCACCTAACAACACAAACCAGAGCATAACCATTCCCTTCTCTACCTGTGCTGTATGCTAAGCCTTCACACTCAATTCTTGAAGTCAGATAAGGTTCTCAGCACAGTTTCATGCAGAGCTTGGAGTTTACATACTCCTGTTTTACCTGTAATGTGTTCCCATTGCTGTAGACATTCTCTGCAGCTGTTAGCTTCAACTGCAACTCTGTCATCACACACCAACACCTAGGGGCTTGTGTGTGAGTGTGAGTGTCTGTGTGTAACTGCATCTGTGTGGGATGTGTTGCAGGGTAGAACACAGGGATGGTGGAATGCCACAGTAAGTGGGAGGACGTTTCACACGGGGAGATCGGTTCCCTTGTTGTGCCACGCTACTTTGAACATCTTTGAAGCAAAGTACAACAGAATGACTGTCTGCCTTTGATACATGAACCGTCTCTGGTTAATTAGTAAATGTTTGCTGCCTTCCAGGATAGTTATTGCACAAAAGTAGAGGCTGAGGGATTTTTTTTTCTTGTCATCCTGTTGCCAGCTCAGACAATTTTCAAATGTTTCTTTCTTTGTTGGTTTTGGAGCAGTTGGCGCCTGCAGTAAGGTAGCTAATGTTAACTTTTGACTTGTTTCTTCAATCAGTCAAAATTAGGCTAATTGATTATAACAAACATCTAAATATTGTGACTTCTACTCGCAGGAATTGTCCAAATATGTCCAAACGACTTCTACATCCCCTTGAAAAGAGAAAGGTGAAAAAGACATTGAAGAGAGCACCTGAAGGTTCTGGTATTTTCAGAGTTGCTCTAAAAGTTCAGCTGGAACCAAACATTTGATTTTGTATTTAGGAGACATTACAACTAAAGTGGATGTTTTCTTACCTTGTACATTGTGCCTTCCTATGGTCCAGGGTTCATCTGCGTCAAAGTGTGTGTCCCCACCCATACCAGGTCCAGGGAAGTATGCGTGAGCCAGGAAACCCCCCTCGCCGTCAAACGGAGAGCTGTCACCGTGAAAACCCGAAGCAAAGAAGATCATGATGTCTGGCTCCTTACGGCGGCCATATTTGATTTCCTGGTAGGGGATTTCTTCAAATACCAGTGGGGTGACTCCCTCCCAGACCTTAAAGGCCCGTCGAACGGCATCATACGAGTTATACTCTCCAATTTTGGGAGTGAAGTTCTGAATGCTGAAGGTCCCAAAGAGGAGGAATGAAGGATTTCATGAGATTACAGAAATTCAACTCAGTGCTCCTTGACAAACACAAGTGTAAAGCCACCTAGGCTGCTGTGTATTTGTTTCCTTTCTGTTACCTGTAAGTGAGATGTCTTTTGCTCCATTTATGTCCAGTGAGAGCATAACGCTTCCGACGAACATTGGTTTTGATCTGCCTTCCAAACTTGTCAGGCACACCACATCTGGGTCTCTTCATGGCGCTGAATGGTTTAAAAAGATCACAAATAGGAAGAGGAGCTTTATAAACATGGAGAACCTCGGTAAGAGGACAACGGAAAAATTATATCATGCTTTGCAGTCCTGTGTTCTATATTTCCAACATAAAGCAGAGTCAAACCTTGATTAGCCAAAAATTGCTATCAAATATTTAGCCGCCTTGTTTTCATTGATGAGTAAACCTGTACTAAGACCTGCTGACCTGACGGTTTGGGAGTCCATCTGGCCAGTCACCTCCAGACCATAGAAGCGCTGCATGTCACTGATGGCGTTGGACAGGATCTGAGCTGATCGCATGGTGGACATCTGTCGGTTGGCCTGGGGCAGGTAGCCATACATCCTCAGCCACGACTGGACACAAGACAAGAAGGAAGAACGTCCATTACTGTGAGATGGTCCATCTGACTCTGGGCCCATTTCCCTGGAAAGTTGCACAGTCTAAGGGATCCCAATAAGCCTTTAAATCAGGATTGTCTGCCTTAGAGCTTTTCACATCAATGTGGAGAATTACAGCACCAAATAAAGGTGGTACAGGAAAAAAAAATATCTATCTGTTGTTTGTATTTAGCCTTTGATCACAATAAAAAAGAATGTGAAGAAATATGGTGAAGACAAACCAAACAACTCTTGGTTGTTTGAATGTAAAGGAGTTAAAGGAAGTACAAACCCGACCAGCAGAGACAGCTTAATGCTTGGTTCCATCTTGCCTCAGATATTAAAGAAGATAAAAGCGCAGTGGGTGTGTGTGTGTGTTGGGGGGGGGGGGGGTGGGGGTGTTACTGACAGACATGAGGGAGAAGCTGCGAAATTTGACCCAATCCCAGATGACGCAAAATCTATCCCACCTGTTTTGTAGAAACCCAATATAGCAGCGGCGGCATGCACTTAGGCTCATGCAGAAAGCCCAAATATATTATAGATCTAGGGCAGTACAAACACACCAAGTGGTGGGAAAAAGGCTGAGTGTCTCTGTACAGGAATGAAGCTCTGTATCTATATGCCTACTGCTTTACAAATGAAACAAACAGGAGCCCTGATCACATGCTGCCCTACAGACTGGGTGGTGTGGAGCATGAACCCACTCAGTTAATTCAATAAACAAAGAGAGCCCCTTCAATTTCATTTTCCCTGTTTCCCCGCTTCAGTTCCTGCAGTCGCTAATGAAATTCAATAGGCAGTGAAAAGGTCAAAGGGTAAGGTGTACAACAGAGTAACCTCTGCTTACAGCCCCTCCTGTACACTTCTTCAAACATCACCACAAAGCTCTACTCTGTCTGCATGTTTCCTGCATATGTGTCCCTCACTCTTATAAAAGAGATATACCAGTTGACTCTGGGTATAATATGTACCTTATCTGAATCTAGGGTTTATATCAATTACCTAAGAAATAGGAGCCTTCAGTATAAAAGAACTCAACTTTTCACTTCCTGATCTTCTAGGTTTGGAAAGCAGAATGGCAGTAGCAGGGTCTGTAAGAGACTAAGACCTCCAACCCACACAACACACAGGACACTGATTTATAAGACAGAAATCTCCTTTATGCAACTACCCTTTTTCAGTCCCATTACATTTTTTGTTAATTATAATCTTACAGAGTCGGTATCATCCCTCAGTATGCATAAAGGTGCAGCCTTTGCCCCTCAGGAGGCCTCAGCAGATAGTCGCTCACACTGAGCCTGGTTCTTCAACTTAGACAACTTTTTTTATTGTCATTATGTATAAGCAGAGTGCATACAAAATAAAATTTTATTTTGTACAGCTTTCATCACATTTCCACTCCTTAAACAGCATATTTTGTGGAATCGTCGAGAGCTGTATGAGGCCACTGCCGCCAGGCGCCGCCTTGATGATGAAATAAATGCTGGAGGTTTTTTCCTGTTCAAAGGGAGTTTTTCCTCTCCACTGTCGCTACAAGCATTCTTAGTGTGAGGGATTGATGAAGAGTCAATGAGTCGATGCAATCAGCTGGTTTTCCTTAGATAGAAAACTTTGAACCAATCTGACTGGATGATCTGGTTGAATTGTCTCTCTAAAGTCACAAAATGTGAATTGGCACTACAGAAATAAACTGAATTGAATTGAAAGACTATTCCTTTATTAAGAAAGTTTTTTATGGTATAACAACATAATGTGCACTGATTGTTGCCCCAACATCATATTTCATGAGCCAAGCCCTGATTATTTGACACCAACCATATATCAGTTTCAGTTGGATTGTATTTCAATACATTATGGGGAAATTGCAAAGATAGTTGCATTTTTTATCACACTTCTCAGGCTTTTCTATCAGTTAGTTAGCAAAAGTATCCAGAACGGTCTAGTATTGCACACTCAACTCTGGCTAAGTGCTCTTCCAGCTGTGTTTGTGTAATAATGCTTCTTTGTCCGCTTAGCTAAGAGTCTGCGCTCCACACTGATGCTTCACTCTCAGCAGTACGGCTCTTCCTTCTCTCGCTACTTAATAAACTATATGTGGCTGATCATCCTCTGCCAAGCGTAAAAAAAATCCTTTTGTCTAACTATCAAGATTTATTTCTTCCAGCTCACAAGAGGTGATGTTAAACATTCTAACATTTGTACTGAAAGAAATCCCTAAATCTTATCCAAAGCAAATATTAAATTGCCCTCTGTTTATTTTTGGTAAAGACCCGGATGAAAAGGTACATAGATCTTTGAATATTTCTCTCTCATAGTTCTTGTTTCTAATATTTTAATATATAACATTTTAGTACACATATTCGTGAAATTTAGGTCCTGATTGCCATGCTATTACCTGGTTTAATTTTATAAAAAGTCTTCTATAAGGAATCTTTGGCTATCCGATTATTAATAAAAAAAAAAATAATCCACAGATGAATCGGTTTAAAAAATATTTGTTAGTTGCAGCCCTAGTGCAATGCATAATTCATAGTAGATGTGTTTTCCTTTGGATGGAAACCTTGCTTGTCTAAAACCATTCTTTTATTGTAAATTTCGTTAGCTTGTCTATCTGCTAATTTAACTAATATAATGTGTTGAACTAGATCTGCTATTTTTATAAGTTTTGTGAGACATTTTTTTATAAAGTAGGGCATGAATTCTTAAAAAAAAAACAACAGAAATGATGAACTGCAGGGCAGCAATGTTTCTCCAGCAGTTGTAGTATCTAAGCCAGAGCTCTCAGTCTGGTAGAGAATCTGGTTGTTATTCAAAGTTTTAAAGGTTCACTCTTTTATGAAGTGCAACATAAAACTGACTAAATCCTTTTTGAGATTTAGTTGACAAAAACAGACTAAAACAATCCCATATAGCAATGACTAAAATATGACTAAAACTAACGATAGTTTTCGCCTTGAAGGTGTACAGAGTAAAAAGGAATGGTGAGAGTATCGTCCCCTGTGGTGCTCCTCTGCTGCTGACCACTTGATTAGACTTCTGACCCTTCACTCTAACAAACTGTGGTCTGTTTGTTAGCTAGTTTCTGATTTATAGACGTGTGTCTGGATCTAAATACCCACATGACAGTACAGAAGGCAATTAATTGGGTGGATATCATGATTTTTACCAGGATAGGATCTTATGTTGACTTATTTGGATGAAGATTTGATGTATCAAAAAATCCATTTCCATTCAAACAACTCCCAAGTCTGCAATCAAAAAAATGCAAAGATAGTTATGATGAAGTTTTATCTGCCTGTTGATCAGTTATTTACATTCATATCAACTCAACAAACAATGCAAACATTTTATTTCTAAGCTCTTACAAGCATTTTTAAAGATATAACGATAATAATAATATATCCTCTCGCCATTATAGCTTAGAGCATTGTCAGTTTCAAAGTAAAAGCATAAAGACCAGAATGAAAATTACTATTTTGGATAGATTACCATTTAATCCATGTGGATTTTTACTCCACCCGCAACAACAACCACGTTTCACTTTCCCCTTTAGTTCAATGACGGCTTTGAAGAAAAGACTTTTGACATGGATCACAAGATCCAGTTAAAAACCCAGAAAACTACCTAATAGTCTAAAACATGCCAAGAAAAAAATTAGGGATGCACAATATAATTGGCCCCCTATCGGTACTGGCCTTAAAACTGAATATGGGACATCGGCCACCCCACCGATATTTAACCCGATATTTGATCAGCTTCTGAGTTTCTAAAGTCTAAAGAAAGAAAAAAAAAATATTACTTCTTCTTCTTCCTCAAAAACTTCTTTTTACAGACTTAAAAACTTCTAAAGACGAGGGAAAAATATTGATACATTAAAATATCACAATATCTTCATATGCTGATATATTGCCATTTAAAAACACCATATCAATCTCTTTTACAAATAAAATATTGCTATATGTCATCGTTATGCTATGAAATCCCCCGAAAATTCACAAAATTTTGCCATATTTTTATATGTTGATATATTGACGTGGTATCGATCTATTTTACTAACAAAATCTCACAAGAATTTGCAAAATATCACCAGAGTTTGTAACAGAACGATGAAATTTCACGGGATTTTGAAAGTAAAATAGATCGATACCGCGTTTTTAAAAATCAATTTGATATCAGCATATGAAAATATATTTGAGTATATTATTTTTCAGAGTGTCAGAAATGGATAACAAAACTGCTATTTTCAATGACTACTTATTTTTGTCTAGCTTTACCATCGGTATCGATATCGGTTATCAGCTACATGAGTTTTAAAATATCGGCATATCGGATATCGGCCAAAATCCCAATATCGTGCATCCCTAAAAAAAATAATTTTCACCTGATTAACCAATTAGAGACTAAATAATAAAACAGTGGCATTGACAGTACTGTATATTCCTTAAAGTTTACAATTTTCATCTTGTTTTTTTAGCATATTTATTTATAGATAATAAAAAACACTGGTTGTTGTTTACCCACTCAGTCTTTCTGATCAGCTGCTAATATTAAAAACAGAGCATTGTGTTATTTTGAACTCATATATCCTTTTTAATTAAAAAAGAGGATAAAAAGTCTTTACATCTTAACAATTCAAGGCAAAGGATGAGTTGGAGCATTCAGGGATGTTCTGTAGCTTTTCTTTCAGACGATAATAACTAGGGATGACCGATAATAACGACCGGCAAATATTATTGGCCGATATTAGCATAATTATGTAATATCTGTCTATTTTGTTAGCATTTTTTCCCCTGATAATAATAAGCTGATAATACAATGCCTAGATTTTGTGAAATATGCCTGAATTAGTGTTTCTGCCAAAAGGCAACTCTCCCAGATGCGTCATTAAACCCGCCAAACAAATAAACGAAGAAGAGGAGAAAGAGGTTATTACATTGCGCCGGCCGACTATCTGTGTAGCAGAAGGAAGCTAA